TAGGATATTTCATTTCGTCGACGCGACTACCTGTTGGAGATGTCTCAACTATACTGCCGGACGCCAAACATTAGATAGAGTGAGCCAGCCGATTGCGTATGAGACCGAGATGTCTCCTGCGATAGTAACAATGATCTAATGCAGCGATGATCCAAGCCGAGGCAGGAGTTTTATGGCAAAGATGAGCAGACCACTATACCTTGCAGAGACTGCCGTCCAGGACACGAGCATGTGCTATGCTTGGTAGACAAGATCAGCGACAGGAGTGAGCCTTGAAAATAGTCACAGCTCTCGCCTCCATGCTTAGATCTACCTCCAGGGTCAGTATATTTTTTCCGCAAATGAACCCGAAAAAAGCAAAAGGAAGGGACTGCGCCTACACCTGCATCCTGAGATATACTGTCCAATATCTATGCTTGGTCTCAAGAGCTGAGCAGAGACAAAGATGCTCAGTGAGAGGATGAAAGCCACAAAGCTGAGGGAGATGAGCTGCTGGATATATAGGACGTTTGTCTGATGTGAGACCGTCAGTGGAGCCACAGCTGAGACCGAAGCTGAGAAGCTGACTCGCTACAATGCATCAGGTACTATAGGCAGCGTCTCTGCATCGAGCTAGTGCGTGCCGTCTTTCATGCTCATTGATGCCAGTTGGCTAACGACAGCTGATGAGGCACCTCGACTCTACTACAACCAGCAGACAGAACACCCAGGAGCTCTACCAGGGCGCCCGAGCGATCCACAGGCATGTGAATCCTGTCACTCATAGATGTAAGCTGAGCAAAATCAGTAGGGAACTATAGCTGCTATGCGCACTGTTGCCCGCAGAGAGCTGCGAGTTGGCTAGGACAGGTTGATAGACGCATCCAGAGTATGTCAAGATTGTAGGAACTATGATCGGCAGTGCGAGCTGTCATCAAGGAGTAGTAAATTGTTACACCACACCTCAAAGTGTCAGTAATCACACTGTTGCTACAGCGCTTGAGCTCCTTTACACCTCTTTGCCTCATTCCGTCATCCTCATAAAGATAGCCGAGAGATATAAAGCCCGGCGTCTGCACTCCCATGCGAGCTAAAGACTTTGCCATCATTGCCTTTGTGTATTTGCACAGCGAAAAATCATTTCATAGACAGACAGGCAGAGGTCGCCGGATAAAGAGATGCCATCAGTGTGCTAGCTTGTCGCGTGGACTACTGCAGTAAGAGCCGTGTGAGCAGAAAAATAAAAGAAAAAGCGTGCGAGGTTCAGGCGCCGCCGATCCGAAGAGCGGTGCGTCCTGCTCGTTGAGGGCGTAGCGCCTAGACGACGTCCATGGCAGTGACGCGTATTTCTTTCTCTTGGCGTGATCGACCGTGTAGGTGACTGCGTCAGCAGAGATACACGTGCCTCCAGGAAGGACTGAGACGACCTGCGCGTCTCCTCGTAGATGAGAGCCAGAGATACGCCTTGACTCCGCACCCTCGGCGCGGCGAGACGAGCACGGATGGCCTGGTGGCTGAATGCCCTGGATGTATCTCTAGCAGAATCTTACTGATGCTCGACGAGTGGCGACCGCCATTTAGAGCTCCGTTCGCCTCCTTTGAACATGCGACCACCAGACATGGCGCCCCCGAACAACACTGACAATTTTCTTCTTCGAAAGGCGTGCCATGCCGAGAAAAGTGAATGGCCGCCAGATGCCGGAGCCGACACTGCGGAAATTATAAAGCCCGCCCCTAAACCCGCGCCTCTTCACTGCATCTGTACGTCCAGCTCGCCAGCCCTGTACGAGATATTCTTGCCAGGACTCTTCTCATAGAGGAAGCCGATTAGACGCCCACCAGAAACACGCCAAAACACTCACTGTTGGCGAACAGCCTGAGCCCTCACAGAAATTGAGGACACAAACGTTCTGTGTGATTAGATAGATTATGATAACCCTCCCTCTCCCCCCATCCCTGCCTCTAATGGCCAGTAAGTAAACACGTGTAGAGGCCAGGAGCAAGCCCAGTGGGAAGTTCTGCGCAGAGACTACTGAGCCAAGATTCCGACGCGTGACGGGCTCAGCCAGCGAAGCAGCTAGCGCCAGCATGAAAGAGCTATAGTGATGAAGACTCGGAAGTCGAGGCCCACCTAGCTCTCTCTCACCATCTTGGAGGCCCCACTAGAGAGACTGGTGGAGGCGCGAAGACATGGGCCGTACAAGTTCCTACCACCAGTTTCAAAACATATGGAAACACAAAGGACAGTAGACAACGCGAGGATGAGGCAGAGAGACTGTTTAAGAGGAAGAATGACAAGAAGGGAGCGGTCTCGAAAGATTTATTCAAAATAAGTGTCAAAGAGTAGGTATGTATTTGCCACTGCCTCTATAAATATCTACTCTCTCTCTCTCTCTCTTCTCCAGGAGATTTGCGGCAGCAACGTCCTTTGTTTCTCAGACAGACAAAAGCCCCGCCTATACACAGGCGGTAGGATGCCCCGTTGAGTATGAGCTGACTGGAGGCCTATTCTCAGACACGCCCGAAGCCATCAAAATACTTTTATGCCCCACATGATAAGAATGTCAGCGCCCAAAAAATTTTGTTTCGCGGATAGTTGACTCTTGATTTGCCCTAAATTTGCCTAAATTTGGAAGTTCCAGCCCCACAATATTTGCCCGCAGCTGATACTCGGATGAACATAGACATTGACCAGCTATGAGAATGCGAGAGAGCAGCCAGAAGCAGCTTTACCACAACCACAGAGGGGCAGCAGTGCCGGCAGGCGTCGTGCGCGGACGATTTCCAGCGTAATCTGATCGCCACCGCTCGACCCGACATGAGCACAATAAGCTGCATCTGTATATCCACTTGGTGACAGCGAGCGGCCGGATGTTGTTCGATCGATATCAACCCTCAACCGCTGTGAATATGCCGAAGGTGGCCAGCTCACCTCCACACATGACCCAGAGTATTTCCAGTACTTTTGTGCCCGCGTGCCATGTGTGAGTTCACTATATACCTTAAGCTCTCTCATGATTGCGTTTGTCTAATTATATTATAGCTACTGAACTACAGCCCTGGGGACAGGGTTTTGCACCACATCAGAGGACATAGAGGCGATTTGTGTGATGCAGTTGTGCGAGGCTCAGGAAGAAGCGATGGACGATGCGAAACTCTACAGACCAAGGCCAAGCATTGTAAATCCAGTATCTTTTATATGCACGTGGAGGAGTACGGTACGAGAGCCGAGAGCGCCTGAGAAGCGCCGAGGTGTTGCCGAGATTGTCAGCCCAGCACGAAGCCTATTTTTCAGAGGGTTCTCTGCATTGCTGATGAGTGACGGTGGCGAATATGTGTATCTACTCTACAGACACCAACATGAGTGAGGAGGACTAGGAGAAAAAATAGGAGAGAACCAATTCGGACGAGGGGTCGCAGGATTCTCTTCATAGAGCTTCACGGACGGCGACCTCCTCTACTGCGGGGAACCTTTCACAGGTGACCCCTGTCTAATGAGACGTACGCGTCAGCAAGGTGCCGCACCATATAAACGCTCTGATATGTGGAGGTGGCACGCGCATTTCACACAAGGCAATCAATTGTTACTCCCAAGAAACATTTGGCCCCCCATGTGCAGTCCCATTACTCTTATTAGACTCTTTTTGAAGAGCAGAGAGTCACTGCCAGAAGTTGAGGTCATACACTCCACATGACACTGGTCACCTACCCGCAAAGCTATACGAATGCGCGCGAGACATGATGCTAAGCGTGAGAGAAAACTAGCGTTTCCGAACATGCAGCTAAAAGTCATCCAAGTCGATCCTTGCTGTGACAACACGTCGTGCTGCAGACCTGATGTATGCTGCTGCATGCGACAAGAGCACTGCAGCAGAGCGCATATTCCTTTCGTCGCAGGACTACCTTGCCAGTGATACTCAACTATACTGAGGACCCAAACATAGATAGAGTTAGCCGATTGTTATGAGCGATGTGTCTCCCTGCGATTCGTAACAATCTGTCTTGCAGAAGACTGATCCAAGGAGCGCCAGCGACGATGCAGGAGTTTTATGCCAAAGATTGAACGACCACTACCTGAGAGTGAGAGCACTGCGTCCAGGACCACGACTCGTCAGCATTGCGTGCACATAGAAAAGGATAATGCCGACCAAGTGGCCATTGAAAATATCACAGCTCTCTCTGACGCCATGACTTCACTCGCGAGTCCCCACCAAGTATATGCGCTACCCCTGCGGCACCCTCCTGTGATATTACTTGAAATTAGGCCTGTCTCAAGAGCACGAGTAGCAGAGACAAAGATGCTTCAGTGCGAGGAGCAACGGCCAAGTGCGGAGATGAGTGTGGATGCCGGATATAAGGATACGATCTGCAGCACTTCAGGCCACGAGCTCCCAGCTGAGACGAAGTGCGAAAGCTCGACGCGCTACAATGCCATCAGCGTCTCTAGGCATCGTCTCTGCATACGCTAGTAGTCTGGTACTGCAGTCTTCATGTCATTGCTAGGTTGGTAACCGACAGCTGCATGGCGCACATGCCTACTACAACCAGCAGAACACCAGGGTCCCCAGGAGACAGCGCCATCCCCAGTGCAATCCCTCTCACATTAGTGCCTAAGCTCGCACACCAGCCTAGCGGAAACTATAGCTTGCATGCGCTCGCTTGCAGCGATGTGGACGTTGGCGGGACAGGTTGCATAGCCAGCAGACTATCCAGCAGTATGATCAAGCATTGATGCGCAACATGTCGCCAGTGGATGCTGTCACTCAAGCGAGTAATTGGCTTTACACACTACCTCAAGTGCTTCATGTCTTCACACGTGTGTTTTTTACAGGATTGACAAGCTCCCAGTACACACCTCTTTGCTCATTCCGTCATCATCATAAGTAAAGGAGAGTAAAGCGGCAGTTCTGCTCCCGTGCAGCAGCTAACGACTTTAGCCATCATTGATGGTGCTCTTTGGCAGGCAGGCCAAAAATCATTTCATCGACAGACAATGCAGAGATTGACGTCGTAAAGAGATGCTATTCATTTGGAAGCTTGTGGCGCGCTCTGAGAAGAGCCGTGTGAGAGCGAGAAAAATAAAAGCAGAAAAGGTGGAGAGCTTCAGCCGCAGCACGATAAGTCCGCGAGGTGCGCTCCCATCGCCTCGTGCAGGCGCCCGTTAGACGTAGACGACGTCCATGAGCAAGTGAAGCGGTCTTCTCTTGCTGATGCCTCGGTGTTTTGTAGACGTGACATGCGCTCACGGACACGTACTCCAGCCGCAAAGGACTGAGGACGCCGCGGGCTCCTCGTAGATGAGGCCAGAGATACGCTTGACTCCGCCCTCGGCGGGCGAGAGGCGGAGGCTGGACTTGGTGATGCCCTGGATGTTGTCTCGCAGAATCTTCTTGACGCTTGGCGCCTCCCTTTCCGAGTCCTTTGCCTCCTTTGCCGCGACCAGACATGGCGAATTCTTCTTCCTTCGAAAGTCGGTGGAAAAAGTGAATGGCCGCAGATGCGGAGCGCGGGAATTATAAAGCGCTAAACCCCGCCCAAATCTGAGCCGGACCACATCGGAAAAGTGTTCATATTGTATGTACGCATGCGCATTACGGTGATCCGTCAAGCTCTAGATTTTGCTGACGAGACAACAGCTAGCTAGCCAAGTTATCTTCGCGCATGCTCCGTGTACATTGAAGACGTCACGAACACAGCAGAAAAACGGCCGTCGTCTACACACGTGTGTGAGTCGGAAAATCTCTAGCAGGGAACACGGCCAGAGATCAAAGAGCCGGAGATGCCGCCCAAAAGAAGAAAATTCGAGTCCACGTTTCCAGCGGTGAGGTTGGGCCTTGGTGCACATCTGTGTGTTTGCTGACACTCATCAACCGGTGTATACTGGCTCTACCACCACAGGCTCGCATAAAGAAGATCATGCAACTGGATGATGACGTTGGACGTGTGGCATCTTCTGTACCTGTCGTCATCTGTATCCCTCTATTTCTTGTTTCTCCCTCGGCACCCTCGCATACACCTGGATACATTGAAACTTGAAGAGCTTGTGGTCAATAAAGAATGTGTGGGCACTGTTACTGTTGATACAAGTGCTACACATGCTCCAGACTATACTTACTATGGAGCGTACAGTATATTATATTCCTTCACCTGTCTGTACGTCAGCTCGAGCTGTCGAGATATTCTTGCAGGCTCTTCTCACTAGAGGAGCCGATTATGCCGCCACCAGAAACGCCAAAACACTCACTGTTGGACACCTGTGAGTCACAGAAATTGGGACACAAACGTGTGATTCTATGTTATGTAACCCTCCCTCCCTCCCTTTGTGCTCATGGCAGTAAACACTGTATAGAGCAGGAGAAGCAGTGGGACTTTCTGCGAGAGCTTACGGCCAAGATTTCCGACGTGACGGCTCAGGAAGACAGCGAGGAGGCCACTGGCCCCAAGAGGGGAAGGTAACTTGAACCTGTGGCGCTCACAGCGAGATGGTATACTAGAACCTCTCTCAAAGGACACGCTGAATTGTCTGGAATTTCTATATATGTACTGTTTGTTTCAGAAAGCGAAAGGGGAGTCCCCTGCCCGGCTCATCGTCAGCATCGGGAGCTGGCAGAGGGAGGAGGAAGCAGAAGGCGACGACAGCGAAGGCAGCAGTGACCGATGCAGACGAAGCCTCTGGCAGTAGTGAGGAGGGCACGTCTGCTGCACACGTGGCCAGTCGTGGAATGTTCAGTGATTACTTCAACAAGGCCTCTTCCTCCTCTCGGAGCAGCTCCGTTGCCAGGTACATATCAACTATTGTGTTTTAGGAGGTTATGTAACCCCTACTTAAATAGACTACCTGCTCCACTGAGACTGCCTGTTTTAACTCATGAGACCGTGTTCAATGCTGTATATATATTATTCCAGTTTGAAGTCCACTTTATCGTAGCGCAGCCATTCATAAGATTTCATGTGTACACAGTGCATCGCCATCGGTGGGTCAAAACAGCAGACAGCAAGCTCAAGCCTCCACCTCTTCGACACCCCACCCTCCGACTGCAGCACCACTGTCCCTCCTCTCTCTCCCCTCCTCCTCCCACCTTCCCTCCCTCACACCCTCCTCGGACTCTGCGACCCCTGCCAACGTTGACCTCCCGGCCATGACTGCAGGTCTTCATCGACATTTACCCGGGGCCAGGCCAGCCAACGAAGAGGAAGAGGAGGAAGACTATGACGATGAATAGCAGTCCACTCTCCCCTTGTTATATAGGAGTCATTTCTGGTGTCACGTTTTGTCATTTTTGTCGTATTTTTGCCTCTGTGAAAACATGAGCACCACTATTGTGTACACACTGTTTTGGCAATATTGAGAAATGAAGTGTTTTGAGTCGATTTTTGAGTCAATAATGTGCATGTGTGTTAGCGCTTACAAATAATTATAGAAACTGTGATATTGTGCGGATTTGAACATTTCACACATGACGTGATAGAAACCATGAGGGGGAGCGAGGGGAGTTCACGTCAACTGTCCACCACTCTTCTCCTCACAGCATCCCCTGTGCCTCCTCCATCTCCAGTCCTCTCTCCCTCCTCAAGGTCAGATTCCAGACTCCTGCAATCATCAGAATAGCACGCACCACATCAAGCACAACACAGTGTGTAGTGCACTACAAACCCCGGGACGGGACAAACTTTTATACAACGGCGTCCTATCTTTTTCACAGAATTGAGGGAGAGAAAAACGACACACCTTGAAATATGGGACTGAACAAATGGTTATCGCTGCAGCTGCTAGTCTACATATTACCTGAGAGTGTGTAGAATGTTGTGCAGACCTCCACCACCACCACCAGCTGCTGTGTCTCCCTCTGTGTCTGTATCACCTGCCACACTGCTCATCTCCGACTGGACCGACCCTGCTAAAAAACAAAGACAACCACAAACCCCACCAGTCAACAATGCGTCCACAGGGAGAAATATTATCAGGAGAGCTCACCTATCTGACTCGACGTTGTCACATCCTCCACCCCTACTCCGGTGCTCTCGGAGAGCTCGGATGGAGTGGGCGTGGCTCTCTCGTCCCCTGCCCCACCCCCGACACCCCGGGGTGTGTACGGCGGTAACCCTGATATCGGAGTACCGCTGCTTCCCCCGGAGTGAGGTGGTCGAGGGATCACCACTGGTCTTCTGTGGACTCCAGCATTGGCCACACTCGTACCTCCCCCTCCTCCGGCTCCTCCTGGCAGCTGGGTCTGTACCCGTACTCCGGTTCCGGAACCAACCACGCCCCCTCCTCCCTGTCGTCTCTGGAGGGCAGCTGTCCGTGTTCTCCGTCGAGTGTCAAAGTCTCTGAGGACGTCCCTCACCCAGAGGACGAGGGTGCAGGTACAGAGAGAGATGAAGATGCTGACAACCACAATGACAGTCATGGTCACCGGCCACTGGTACAGATAGTAGCTACACATGACAACAGAGATAGAGAACTATAATTATAGCGATGTAGACATGCTTATCGACAAACTTAAGTCAATTCTAATTATTATCTAGACCCGTTTCAATGCACTGTCCCAATAGTCAATAAGACCATAGCAAGTGCCCTAGTTACATGCATGGAGCTATGTACGAGTATATACTTTAATTATATCACAGTTTCGGAGAGATTCGACTCACGTTAAACCTCCAAAGTTGGCGTCGATGGTGAGCGTGGAAGAGTACAGCTGTACGTGGGGGTTGAGGACCGAGACCGTGGCCGATATCGTCCCGTCTCCGTACGGCTCGTAGTAGGCCTCGTAGAGCGGAACGTTCAGCTCCTGCTCCTGACTCCACACACCCAGCAACAGGGGGACGGCAAAGACAATCGTCGAGAGTGTTCGCAGCAGAAACGACTTGTACTTTACCATCGCCTGCAAATGCAGAGAAACACGAACATTTATATCTCTTTCTACATCTCCTTCTAAATTGTTGAAACAAGCTCAATTGTGTGGCACTTGGCTACGTGCAGTGTAGCATAATGCAGTACCACAGTTATAGTGGGTAACAGAGTAGAGCCCCTCTAATTACGCCCCCAAATGGCTCACAGGTCTGGCAGATGTGGAGAGGAACTGCTGGCCGGTAGTATATAGAGTGATGTTGACCATGAATACTCCGACTTCTGCATTCACTGGACTCTCTGGAGCCTGTAGCTGGAGGGAGATGTGGTAGTACTGACCTGAACTCAGCAGCTGCGGGTACGAGGAGGAGGGGAGGAGGGAAAGAGAGAAGCAGGGAGAGAGAAGTGAGAGAGAAAAGAGAGAGGGAGGAAGAGGGTAAACAGTCAAACTCATTTTAAAAATGGATGCTGACCTTTTGTCCATCGTGAGTAGAAACTCGGCCTTGGGGAAAGGACAGTCGGCGGCTCCTCCCACAGTCTGACACTCAGGACTGTAGATGAGGACAATACCAGCAAACACATCACAGCGAACACCTCAAACCATCTGTTACACTCACTGGAAATAGAGGTGGACCGGTTTTATGTGCAGTTTCTGCGGCACCATCACTCTCCTCATTATGGCGTACATGAACAGCGACAGGAGGACGTAGCCAAGGAAAATGAGGACACCCATCATGGCTCTAATGACTGCCTCCTTTGTGGAGCTCAGCACAGCGCGATAGCTGCGCACCAGCATGCTGTACAGAGCCATCTTTGGCGCACGCAGGGCCTTTATTTCGTATATAGGGTATATACGGTGCAAATCTTGTATGTGCGACAATGGGTGGGCAGAACCGACTGGTTCTCTCTATTTACAGCTTGTTCAGACGCAATTACGAGTCGAGAGAGTGGGCTTTATGTAGAGGGGAGGGTGGCTGGAGGAAAAACGAAGGCTCGCGCAGACGTTGAGCAGCGGTCTCACGCAAGAGTCGGTCGACGATCATGGAAGACGCACGCGAGATTCTCTCCGTGCACCTGTCCTCGTTCCTGACGCCAGCCTCCTTGCTTCTTTTCCACCTGTTGAGCCCAGGCGGGTTCCTGGGCACTCCTCTGCTCGCTCTCTCCCTCTCTCCCTCGCGGCGTCCCTGGCCGCTCTCCTAGCACCGTTCCTCTTCCTCAGTCCGGTACCGTTGGAGCCAAGCAGCCCCGGCCCCGTCAAACCCTTCCGTCACTACGTCTACGAGCACAAGGATACGAAACGACACGGGACCCCAGACGGAGTAAGTCCGACGCTCGTGTCTGTATGTACGTGGAAGACAGTATACTGCGGGAGTAAATTGACCGCCGCCCCCTAATGATGCTCTCCTCTCCGCAGATACTCCTTACAAAGGGGAGCTCCTTCCTGCAAGTGCTACTGGCTTCGACAACGATATATGTGATAGTAGGAACATTACTAGGAGCCGACCCATTCAGGTACAGCTATACCATCAGCTGTAATTTTTCCCCCAACACTAATGTTGTGTGCCCCCCTCTGCATGTGTATCAATGAACAAGCCAGCGAGTAGGAGACCTGCCTAGCTCGTTGCTCAATTGGTTGAGGTCCAACACAGCAACCACAGAGTCCTACACTACACCATTATATGTGGTCGTGGTCGGCTATAACTAGCACTTTGTGTTTCGTGCTTACACCCACATGTAGCGAATGTCGTTTACCAGTGTAACGGCTCTGTAGCTAATTCCATTCTACACCCCTCCTTCTTGTTTATGCAATACCTTGCGTATGTCTGACGTACATATGTCTATGCTAACACAAATTCAATTTCTCCCGAGATTACAGCGACTCTGTTGAGTGTGTGTCTCTGTCCACTACTACAGGCAGCTGGTAGGGACTGTGGTGTGGGCTCTGCTGATGACCTCTCTGACCTCTGTACCAGTGGTGGCTCTACTGGACACGGAGCACCAGACGTGGAGAAGAGTCCTCCTGGACAGAATGTGAGTATCATCTTCAGTGGGACCTGTGAACAAAACATGCTAGGACTGTATGAAAATTGTGTTCCTAAAAGGTAGTAGCAATGGATTGAAACAGTTGTCCTCTATAGAGAGGTATCCAGTGAATGAGAGGTTCCACTGTTACACTCGCTCATCTCAATTGTTTACTACTCTCTCTCCTCTCTCTCCTCTCTGCCCCCCTCATGATAACTGCCTTTGAACCTCCGACGGCCTCAATTTGTGCCTCGTAATTGACTGCTCATGGGAGAGATTGTAGCTAGTAGCTCGACATGTTTTTGAGCACGTTTACGTCGCGTGGTCAGACGGTCTACATGAGGAGGGGCACGTGGGAGCACTGTAGCTATGGGCTGCAGCTACAACACTTGCATCAACTAGACCTTAATGCACACTTTGAAACTCAGACGTTTTGCGGTAAACTCCTGTGGAACCCCTCTACTCTGGACACCCATGGAACAGAAGAAAGTGTCCATATTAGAAAGGTGTCATAATTATGCAAGTAAATCTGATGAGAGAGGTGTCTTTGGCAGGTCATTAGAGCACTGTAATTTGATCGATGCAGCATCCCATACTTGACTTGATGTTTTGTAGATTCATCAACAGTGCAGAGAGAGGGCTGTATGTAATGGTGATGTCGACTCTGCTAGGAGCATGGATCGGTGCGGTACCAATCCCTCTGGACTGGAACAGACCATGGCAGGTGGGCCTATATATACACTTGACCCTCTCACTTGATTCAAAACCTGTCACCTACAGCTTCAAACACAGTCTCCCTCCTTAATCCCACTCTTAACCCCCTTTACTCGCCACCTTCCCACCCTCTCTCTGACGTCAGGTGTGGCCAATACCGTGCTGCTGTGGAGCAGTGCTGGGGAGTCTACTGGGCAGCAGCTACAGTCTCCTAGCCCAGCATTTCTCCTTCTACCCCGCCCAGCTCAACCTCCAGTCTCGCTGGCACTCGCTGCATCACCAGTACAAGACACCACCACACCGGCTGACAATAAACTAACAGTCCACAAGTCGATCTCATGCAAGAATCAGCACGCACATGTGCAGTTGCACTCGCACACCCAAATCAACAACACACCATTCCTTGGACAATTCCGAGAGTTGCAAAATAGTTAGAAATTTGTGTTGGTGTGTGTATAAATTATATGTATATGTTGTATAACTCGGTGCAACTGATTGTGCCAGAATGCCAATCAGAGGCAATAACATGACTCAAAACTACTATAGAAATACATCCCATAATAAACTAGTGACTGAATAAACTGAAGAGATTGTACAAAAATAGACACAATGTAGGGGTAGTGGTTGAGAGTTGTGAGGTGGGTCTGTGGGGTAGTGGTCAAAGTTTGAAATGTCGAAACACCTGTTAACATTAACACAAAGAGAGAAGGGGGGAGGGAGGGTACGGAGTTAAGGTGGATTTCGGAATTGCAGAATAGAGAGCAAAGAAATCGTTCTGAAATCTACCAACAAATCACTCATCTGTACTGTTTCAGTATAATACTTACATGCCCTATACATCAGAGTTTCATAATACTAGGGGATCAGGAGTGGGACTAGCTGACCTTGATCTCCATGTCCTCGGAGCCAGTGAAGACAGAGTCCTGACAGATGGCGAGGGCCTGGACTGGCTTCTCGTGTCGCTGGAGAGCCAGAATCGGCAACATGTTCTCAAGATTCCACACCTACAGATGGTATGTACAGTGAGTGGGCTGGCGAAGTATTGTTGTTGGCTTGGAAAAGAATTGCTGGCAGTTTTCATTTCATTTCACATGCGTACACCAGATTTTCCTTAGTCCATTTAAGAGTGGGTAGAGGGTAGCGGGGGAGAGAGAGAGGGGAGAGAGAAAGAGACCAGACCTGGACGGTATTGTCAGATGATCCTGAGAACATGAAGACGCCGACCGGCGACTCTGTAACTCTCAGAACAGTCACGATGCCGATGTGTCCGTTGAGAGTGCAGTGGTGACTCAGACTGCCTCTGTCGTACACCTGGATGTTCCGACTGTGGGTCCCCGTCACCAGGAACTTGTGGGTCACCCCCAGCGAGTAGATGGCCCCGAAATGAGTCTCCACCTCTTTGACGAGGCCGAAATCGTCGCTGGCTCTCCAGACGTGGAGTCTGTTGTTTGTGGTGCTGTACAAGTAGTCCTATGTTGGGTAAGAGCAGGGAGACGTTAGTTGCCCGATTTTCCTTGGAACCAACCGATCTCTTGTCATAGGCGAGGGCTCTGATCCAAGACTGTGAGATGTTGTTGATTCTGTGGATCTCCTTCAGTGATATCAGGTCCCACACCTTTCATAGTTGGAGGGGAGGTGGGAGTATATTAGCAAGAAAGAGCTACTGTATAACCGTATGTAGACATAAGTGAATATTGACTCAAAAACACTATTATTACATTAAACGTGGTGATTCAACGCAAATCTGGCAAATTGCAAAAATTTTTCACTAAGACTGACCTTGATGCAGCCTAGCGAGGAAGTGAAGAGGGACTGCTTGCTGCAGATCATGGCACTGATCATACTGTCATGCGCTTTCTGTTTGGACAGAGAAATGGGGGACACGGAGAGAGAGAGAGAGAGACCACTAGTCAGAGGTCTTGGGTGATACCGACTCACCAGCACAGCTCCAACCTCCTCCATGGTGTCAATGTGCCACGAACGAAGAGCTAAATCGGTTCCACTGGAATACAGGACACCTCTACAGACAGCCAGCGATATCGCCTGTGTGCGTGTGTGTGTGCATGCGTGTGCAACCTTAGTACTTATTCATAGGGATATATGCGCCCGCCGCTCCAAGAGGGTCAAGTTGCCTATGACACTAATGTCACACAGCTACACATAGGCAGACAACAGTCTAAGAAGAGAGACACGCACACACATGAGGTGCTCACACAGTCTTTGTGGGCAGTCACTGTCCTCACACAGCCCTTGCGTAGGTCTGCAGTGTCCCACACTTTGATGGTCCCGTCACTGCTACTGCTGAACAGCCAGTTGGAGTGGGCCAGTAGCGACCAAATGGTTCCTTTATGTCCTCTGTTTGCGAGGAGAGAGAGAGAGAGAGAGAGAGAGAGTGTGTGTGTGTGTGTATACTGCAAGTGTGTTAGTGTCACTGTGCTAGTGTGTATGGTGGATCCCCAGGACACCAATGGAAAACAAAGTGCCGATATTCCACTAGAGAGGTTCTTTGTTAATTAGGACTGCTCGGGAAAGTCCTTGTTAAATAGAGGGCTTCCACCATCAATTCACTATTATCAAACAAACAGCCACTGACTTGAAGGTCCCAATGCACTTGACAGTGAAGGGCATCTGCCATTGAAAGAGCCTGTGATGGTTGCTATAGAGATGTCCTCCATCGTGAGTGGCCGAAGCCAGTGACGCGAAGGACTCCATCGACCACCTCTTCTCCCTGTTGGTCCTCTCTCTGATTACAGGGGTTCCCCCGCCCGTGTAGCTGCGACCGTGCGGCGTCCATGAACGCAGTGTCTCCTCCACCTTGTCGCTGCGCAGCGTCAGGCCCTCCATTTTCTCTTCCATCTTCTCCATACGAGAAGTGATGGCCGTTATGGCTCTGTCCGTTTCAAGAAAAACAGGGGAGGGAGGAAGAGGAGAGGAAATAGAAAAGGAAGTGGAAAAAAAGGAAGGAGAAAAAGATGGATGAGAGATAGAGAATTGGTCTCACAGGTTTTACTTGTTTACATACAGTGTGTTACTAAAAATACACCAGCTATTTTTATCCAGCCACTCCTATTATATCCTCAATACACTATTATATCCTCAACACACTATATATCCTCAATACACTATATTTCCTCAATACACTATATACCCTCAATACACTATATACCCTCAATACACTATATACCCTCAATACACTATATACCCTCAACACACTATATATCCTCAATACACTATACACTATATTATATCAACATTGGGCCTTTACCCAGGGTCTATACAACACCCAAAATGGTCTTCTATACAGAGAATAGTACACTACTCACAGTGCCTGTTGCTCCAGTTGAACTGTCCTCTCAGCCACCAGTCTGTCGATGGACTTGAGGGCCTTTCCCAGTGACTGCTGGAGCTCTCTGTTGGAAGACTGCAGCTCCTGGTTTGACTCTTTCACCAGTTTTAGCTGTTGGGAGTCACGAGGAATGAGAAGTGTTATTAGTTGGGGCTATTTTTATAATTTTAGGCAGTCAAACAGGTAATTATACCGATTAAAAAAAGTTGGTTAAAAGGTTAGATAGGCCTCCTGGTGTGTCTTACATACAAGGGCGTCTACTAGAATGCTCTGTGTTTCTATGTTTGTGATTGTGATTGTACACCTCTCGCATGGTGATGATCAGCAACTGGGACTCGTCCTTGTAGCTACAGCTTGACTTGTGCTCCGTCACACCAACATTGGTTCCATGGTACATACACCCTGCAGTAAGGAGACACAGAGAGAGAGAGGGAGAGAGAGAGAGAGAGGAGAGGGGTGGCAAGAGATGTTAGCTGTGCTATGAAAAACGATTGGCGAGATGTTCTCACCAAAGTTGCTGAAGGGACAGGGCACTCTGCTACAAGAAGTCACGTGCACGTCCATCTGGTTCACTCTTAGTACCCCACACAGTTCCCCTCCAATGGGGCACACCGTCTTTGCAAACTGGCACTTGGACTCGTGTTCCTCTCGCCTGCCTAGAACCACAACCTGCAGCCAGCAGTGTTAACGACTCCTCTCTCTTTCTCAGTCTCTCTCTCTCTCTCTCTCTTTCTCTCGCCTTACCTCCTTGCACCCATCAGTATCCGTCTCCCACGTTTTCCCTCCGTTCCTGGAGAGGAGCCCGTGGCAGCAGTAGATCTTGAGGTCGTGGATCTGTCCCATGACGGCCCTGTTGAGCACCAGCTGGCCCGAGTCGCACGCCACCCTGTCCGCCGGACAGCGTCTCCCTTCTCGTATCAAGGCCCCGACACACTCCCGGCAGAAGGTGTGTCCGCACGTGACGGAGATGACCGGCTCGGAGAACACGCGGCCGCACACGGGGCACAGGAGGGCCGGCGGCTCCTCCACGAATTTTGCCGGCTTTACTATCGCTGCTGCAGCGGCTAACATGATTCAGCGCAGCTGAGCGGAGAAAAAGTAATAAAGTTCAAAGGTCACCATTTTAGGCCACGCCCCTCCCAGCGTGGGGGCGGATTCGGACACGCGATTTCGGACACGGAGCCAGAGAGATAGTGCGTCTTTTTGCAGAGTCAGTTGACGGTAGAGGTTTTGGGTTAGCTGGGAGCTGAATAAATGGCGTCTGGGACAGTGAGAGAGTTTGATCCGGTAAGAGCCAGCCGTAAAATGATCAGTATGAACAACGGAACGTATATCTGTGCCCTCATACGTGCAGGAGACCTTCGCTCTGGACAAGTACATCGAGAAGCTGTCTACGAGCGATCCCAGGACGGGCATCGGGCCGCTGAGAAAGATGACGGTGGAGCCGTTCGACCCGCGCGCCCTCCTGGAGACGTTCGAGCGGAGTATCCAGGTCCTGGGCGAGCTGGCCGAGAGGAACCAGCGCCGCGTGGAGAAACTGGAACACGTCTGTGCCAAGCAGGAGCACGAACACAACGGCCGCATCGCGGAACTAGAGGGAACATACAGAGTGAGCGTAGGCCTGTAGTCAGACACCAGTAGAGAAGGTAGGCCCACAGTTGAACCCTCTAATCAAGAAACTAATTAATGTGACAGCTCTCCTTCCATTTTCAGGAGTTACTTAAATTCCATGCAAGTCTTGGAGGGTAAGAAAGAAAGGGTGCTTATTTTAGAAAGGTGTCCTTAGGTGTGTTAGAGAGAGAGGTTCTGCTACTATCCAATGCTTGTCGTGTTAGGAGGCATTCGAGGAGTTCCAGACACTGGAGGACAGAATAACATACGTGGCGACGAAGGTGGTTCACCTGGGCGACCAACTGGAAGGCTCCAACAACCGGCGGATGCGAGCCATGGAGGCTATAGACCTGATGAAATACCTCGACGAATTCAAGACCAAGCCTCGTCCTAATCTCATCGTCTTCACTGACCCAGGCAGAGTGAGGGGAGAATGTCCCTATTGTTGTGTGGTGTCCTGATATCTTGTCCTGAAAAGTGTGTCTTAGTGTTTTGCTAATTCTCCTCAGAAACTGGAGGCGGCTGCTCTGATTAACAAACTTCAGTCTCTCACTGCTGAGCTACCCAATAACGACATGTATGTCACCAATCTTACCTTTACCCCTATACTCATGTCCTTCGCTATTTCTCTGGCTCTCTCTCTCTGTGCGTCCCCTGATGTCAACAGGTATGCAAAGGTTCGCAGGCATATCTTTACAAAGTATGCTGAAACTGAACAACTGCTGGTGAACGAATTCATCGAGTCGCTTCGCTCTCTCGACTCACGCAGAATGAAGGAGTACGCTGTAGCTCTGCAGCCATTCGGCAAAGTAAACTCTCTCTCACACACACTCACTCTCTCTCTCGCGCGTTCTTCCTCGTGATAGTGGGGTTAATTTGTCTCATATTATGCAGGGATCAGGGCAAGTAGTGACAGAATACATCCACCACAATATCCCGGTGAGAACTAACGAGGTTGACAACCCAACAGTGTATAGCTATAAATACAATTTCAGATCCAGAAGTTCACGTCAGTGGATGAAATGGTGGTCAAGGTGGAAAAACTCTGTAAAAAGGTCAGTTTAAACCAGCTACTGCGCTTGGTACTGACACTATTTGCAATAATAACTTTTAGTTTTGTTAGTTTGTGACTTGCTCTGTCTATGTGTGTGTGTGTGTCCACAGGTCTACGTGCAGGTGGTAGACATTTTCGACAATGCAGAGGTGGTAATGTCGAAGTTCATTCAGTCTCTACTGGAGAGAGTGCTTCAGGTGAACCACTCATCCCACACTTGGCACGTCTCTCTCCAATACATTACTATAATATATGTAGCAACGTGTAGAAGTTCATACGTAAATACACCATTTATTACAACATGTCTACATTACTATTGTGGCCACGTGTAGAAGTTTGTGGATGAGGACCTGGGACCTCTGATGGCCTCGGTGAATGAAAGAGAGAGGTATCTCAAGAGACTCTATGACCTCTATGTCAAGTGAGCAATACGGAATAGTAGGAAAGAGAATGGAAGGAAAAAGTGTCTAAAATGATATATACTATGGTGTTGGCCCTTTACACACATGAGGCGATACAGTTTACAAGCCAGTTTAATAGAAGTTGCGAACGCAAATGTGTATTGAGCAAGTCCCTATAACCAGGGTTTCTATAAGAGCCAAGCTGTCTTCTTCTCCCCTGCCTAGAATGATGGAGCTGCACGGCAAACTGGGCAAGTATGAGATGAGTCTGGACATGGCCTATCTTGCCAAACTCATGCGTGTCGTGTTGTTTCACAAGTACCTCTCCAACTACGCCGAGTAAGTCCGCCCCGAGCCTGTGCTTTCTCTGTCATCTTGCTCTCTCTCTACTACTGTGTGACTGTAGGATGGAGGCACAGCATCTCACTGCAGTCACTACAAGGACTCTGGAAGTGTTCAATGTCAGGATGGGCATATCCAGAAAGTCAGTCCATTCAACACACACACTTGCATGCAGAACCACTGTTGCTGTTGTGTTTGTGTAGGTAGTACAGTGCATGGTAAGCAGCTCTATGTAAATGTATACCAATCAACTTAGTGTGTTTGCATGCTCTTATCATTCTATGGGTCTTACAAGATAATCGTAACACAACCCATTGTCTCTCCTGGCACTATTACCACGGTCTATGTCTCCTCCGTCCAGGCGTGCCGCAGGGCCAGGGGGAGGAGGGAGTGCAGGAGTTCAGGGGCGCCCGGACGAGACCTACGTCTCCATGGAGGTGTGCACCAATGTCCTCCATGAGGCAAAGGAGTCGATCCGGAGGGCTTCCGCGGTGAGTCACAAACTACCACTGCACACCAGTGAGTATGATCTGGCAGCTTATCCGAGGCTATTTGTTGTTGTTGACAAGCTTGTAGAATCACACAAAATGTCATTAGATAGGTACGTGGGCATGCGAGTATAAGGACCCACTCTGTGTGTGTGTGTGTGTGTGTTGTGTGTGCAGTTGCTGATGGACAAGGAGCTGTCCGTTCTCGTTCGAGAACTGTATTTCATCGTTCTCGACAAACTCTGCATCGAGCACTTTCTCACAGCTCTCGAGATTGCCCAGTCAGGTCTGCCGCAGTGTAACATCATCGGTTCTGTTAGTATTACTCTCTCTTCTCTCTCTCTCTCTCTCTCCCTCCCTCCCTCTTCCCTGTCTCCCCCCAGCTGACCCCAAGTCGTCACCGACCGGGTTGTTCTGTCTGGTGGTGGGTGGAGTCAACAGCTCCATGCATCTCATTGAAAAGCTCTACAGAGACACCGTCGTTCCTTGCATTAGGTCAGCAACACTAGTCGTGTATGTATGTATACAACCTTCAACTGGAATAATGGGCCCTTACTTTTAATATCTATGGTTGTGTGTGTCTTCAGCTATGCTCCAGAGGCGACCAAGTGTCTGGAGAGAAAAAGAGAAACTACGCTCAAACTCGAGTCTAAGATAGAGGCTGGCATTGAGAGGTACATACATACCAAAGTTTTACGGAAGTAATGTGTTCCTGTCTTCATGAGAGCATCAACTGCACATGTTACTGTTCCCCTTCTCCCCTCCTCCTCCTCCCCTCTCCCCTCCCTTTCCCCGCAACAGAAGTCTAACAGGGATGGTGGGCACTATCAAGAACTTCCTCTCCAGCTGCCAGAAGAAGACAGACTTCAAACCAGACGACATGGCTCTCCCGGCACTGACGGACGCCTGTCAGAAAGTGGTGGCCTACATCATGGAGTGCCGTCGAGTCCTGGACATGTCGCTGGATGGAAAAAATCTCGAGGTCGTGCTACTAGAGTTTGGGATTCGCATACAACGCGTTATCTACGATCACGTCCAGCAGTTTGTGATCAGCGAGAATGGTTTGTCTACTAAAAAAATAACTTTCAATTTCACAACCTTGTTTGTTTTGATAAACACTTATCTCTATGACCAAACACTGTTATCGACATGTCCGTTGTTGTCAGATCCGAATTCCAAACACTTGCACATTATCATGCAACGTGTCTATATACTAGGCGTGGTTTGTCTTCGTAGGGGTTATGTGGGGTCATGTGGCATGGTAACTTATTATTACCTGCTGTACACAGGTGCCATGAACATCATATGCGACATGAACGAATACAGAAAGGCCGTCAAGGAATTCAGCGTACGTTTCGGAATTGTATATACTTTTTGGAGTATTTTTTTAGAAGGGGGAGTTTTTCGCTCAATTTTCAGAGTCCATTTCTTGACGAGCTGTTTGGGAGTCTCCAAGCCCTCTGCAACATATTCATTGTGAAGCCAGAGAATCTGCCACAAGTCTGTTCCGAGGAGCCCTACGTGAGCTGGTAATGTGTTCCTCAGTAATTGCAGTGTGTTCTAATAATGGGGCGTTGGTATTTCTCTCTGTGCAGACTTCGTTTGATCGCAGTGTTCTGAGCAGTCTGGTGGCCCTGAGAGCTGATTTTAAGACTAACAAACTAGCAAAGATATTCACCTAACGCAGACACACCCGTAATTTACTGCATCATGCCACAATTGATCATCCATTATAATTATCATCATCATGCAGGCAAGAGAGTGGGTGGGTGGGGCTCGTATGATGACGTCACATGCGTATTCGCCGAGAGCCTATTTATTTCGGACTCTTTCCAGGCTGGGCTGGGGAAGTAGATCTAGAGGAAAGTGGACATGGAGCTACCTCACGGTACGGACAACGAAGAATGTATTACGGGTGTGACATGCGTTAGCGGCTCGTAAAAACGAATGGAGCAAGTACAGCGTGGAACGTTAGCTGCCTGCATGCTAGGGGCTTCGCACCACGCACTACAGAGCGGTCGTATGCGTTCCAGGTATATAACCAGCGAGCAAAATGATATCGGCTGTGTTCTGTGACTGTATGTTACTCTACGTTCCCTCTCTTCCTCCGTTCCTCTCTCCACCAGACAGTAACGGAGACCTGGACTGGAACACGCTGGGCAAAATCTTGACTGCACACATCCTAGGAGAGGTCTGGCCTGCATTCGTAACAGTAATCAGACTATAGAACTACACTGCATTAGAACTGTGTTCAGTGCCACAGGAGTAGCTAAGTAAATGTTTGTCTCTCCCGTGAATACAGGTGCTCCACGCCAAGTTTGTGGACTGGAAATATGGCAGAATCGGGAGAGATATCACGGTGGACACCTCATGGCAGTGAGCTCCTCCCCCCTTTTCCCCCCTCCTCTCTCTCTCTCTCTAGCTCTCGTCTTTCCCTTGTTGACCCTGCTCGATTTCTCCCACAGGTTTGCCTACGAGAAAAACGACGTAATGGTTCTGAAAAAGTCGTTTCCAGACAGTCCTCTGTGTGCGTAAGTCAAGTCAACATCCTTTCCCTAACGCGACATGGCTCCATTTCTCTCCCTCTCTCCCTCTCTCCCCGCTGTGTCTCACTGTAGGTTCATGGGTCGAGGTGTGATTGAGCTCCCGCTGGAAGAGGTGTCCCTGTTCATTGCAGACATCTCACACAGAGAACAGTGGGACAAGCATCTCGTGGTGAGTCTGAACCTTTGAAACCTCCTCCAGTATTATTGCCTCCGTTAATTTCACACAGAATATTGAAGTTCTGCAAGAACTCTCGAGTACAGATTTCCTAGGTTGGCGCTGTTATAATATTATAATTTAATGTGCAAAACAGGAGTGTGGAATTTGTGCTGTTTTTCAGCTCGCATGCATTACAGAGTGAGAAAATGTGTTATTCGATTCGAGAGGGACGCTGTGTATTACGAGAGAGCCTGCCACGTGGTAAGCAATGACATCGCAGTCTCCGTTGAAAATGTATGGTCGTGTTACATGACGACATCATCATCCATTGTCTGTAGGACGATAAGTTTGTGATGACGGCACTCTCAGTCGACCTGCCAAAATATCCTCCCATTCCTGGACTAATGCGAGCTCAGGTGGCCTTGTTATTCCACCCCCTGACCTATTCACCTTACCTCTACATCTACTTCTCCTCAGATCCTGTCAGGCTCGGGCTGGGTTCTGGAGCCATATGACGGTAGCAGTCACACCACACTCGTCACTTACCTGGCACATGTGAGTCTCCAGCTAGGACCACACCATATCTACATGTACAAGTCCAGAGTTTCATGTTCATTAGATAAACTGAAACCAATCCTGTGTGTTTTGGTCTTATGTATGCCACCCTGTGTGTAACTTAGAGTGTTCAATATCTGAAAATGTGTTCCAAACACAATTTGATGTAGCGTGTGTATATTCAACAGTTTGATCCCAAGGGACTCCCTACAATCGTTGTCAATCAGGTCATGCAGAGACAAATCATGGCTATTAGCTGCATTAGGGATCTCCTCGCACCGTCTCTGCCTCCCTCGCCCTCTCCGCAGTCCACCCGTCGACTGAAGAAGAGCAAGAAGCGCGGCAAGGGATCCACTTCGAGCCTGCCCCACATCCAATTTCTGGACAGCAATGCAGAGAACAGTGGAGAAGGTGAGGCAGCACCATACGCAGCATCATCGGGAAACGGGACAACAGACACCACTGCCCGGTTTGAGGATCCGGTGTCGGTGTATGCGTTCATTCACAGCAGCAGCCAGACATGATGAGGATGGAGAGCGTGCCGTGGGACATGCACCACCACTGGGACGGAGACGAGGAGCATAGCCACACCCACTGCGAAGCCATGGAACCGAGTCCCCGTACCGAGCGGTTGCGGTCCTATTCCGAGGGCGAATCGGCCAGTCCCCATTCCGTTCCAGTGGTCCAGCCCACACTCATGCATCAGATTTTGGAAGATTCAGAGGACAAACGTCAAGTAACGTAGCAGCTTGGACACAATAATATTGTCAAATGTGTGTTGTAATCACTACTCTTTTCTCTTCAAGTTTGAGTGTCCATATTGTATACATGATTCCAGGAGAAATTCAGTGCTCTAGAACTACATTATTGGCGAGAAAAACCAGAGTGCCAGAGTTTCAGTGGTGATCAAAAGTGCATCTATAATGTACATACGCAATCAGGTGAGTAGGTGGGGCCGGTTCACTACATAGCACCACAGAACATTAATTGTCTGCCACGGTTCATGAGGTTCATGAATAGAGGGAGTAATATAATTATATAGGGAGGAGGCGGGGTCCAGTAATCAATTAGTGTAAATAGCGTCAGGAGGTGAGTCAGGGAATGAGGGGGGAGGAGTCAACCAGTCGCAGTGGTCCCCGCTCAGTGGAGGTAGCGGTCCTGCAACAGCCGGGCCACGCGGCAAGGGTCGGGACACACGTCCTGTTGGCACAGGGCTGGAGGGAATTGTCGGTCCCTCTGTCCATCTGACTCTCTCCCCACACCAGCGATGACTCAAACGCTTCCTTCACCTGTACATCACATCACATCAATGTGACATATTTCTCTATACTTGTGTGAACCAACCGTAGTCACGGACACACACATTAGCTGCAGACCTTTTCAATCTGGGAGAGAACGTTGGCATAGAGAGTCGGGTCCAGCTGGTAGATCTCCCCGGGGTCAGAGTTCACGTCGTAGAGGAGGGGAGGGTCGTAACTATGGAGACTGAAGTTGCCACGACAGACCTCGTCAGGGTAGGTATCAGGACAAAGACCACTAGGCGATAGAGAATGGTGTAAGGGGAAGGGGGAAGTATGAGACTGTGTGTGTTAGAGAGACTCTAACCCGTGGGAGTTGTAATGAGCCTTGTACTGGTTCCAACGAACGGCAGACACACCCAGTGACGGCTTAACATTGTCAGAAAAGAAGAAGTACGTATCCCTGGGGCTCTGCAGAGAGAAACAGATAGTAAAATGAGTGAATGTAGCGGTTTGCGTATCAAGGAGACGTGATCGAGGACAGAGGATCTAGGAGTGAGGAATTAGATCAGAGTATGCCTGGTGTTGTTTTGGTGAGAGAGAGAAGACTAAGTGCTCACAGGCTGGTTCTGGAAGAGCAGGGGAGATATGTCGAGGCCGTCCAGAGTCACTTGAGGAGGCAGAGGAGCTCCAGCCACCGCTGCAAAGGTCGGGAAGAGGTCGACTGTAGCTGCCATCTTGAGAGAAGAGAGACATACGCCCCGCAACACAGCTATTCAGAAGAACCTCTTATGAATAATGACACCTCTTTACAAAGGACCTTTTTTTAACCCTTGTACACATTGTCAGGTGTAACAGAGCTGTCTCATCATCGTTAGAAAATTCCACATTACATAAGAGTAGGTTTGCCAGGTGATGTTGTATATACAAGTGGAAAAATCATTTCTTCAAAATGAAAGGGGGATATAGGGATGGCTTGAAGCACCAAAAAGGAACGAACAAGAGGGTCATTACACAGCAAAGTTGCACAAAGCTACATGACACCATCCCTATATC